AATTCAAATACATAATCTAATTTTAATTTCATTTAATATTTAGTCATGTAACTAATACTTATTAAACTTATTTTATCATGATTTAATACTTTTAAATTATGATCATTTTCATTATGACTTGTTAATTTGCAATATTTGTTTTACGTGATTTCATTATTATTATTTTTTTGTTGGATATTTTAGTGTCATTACTCATATCATATTTGTGTTATTTTCTTAAGAAACACCTTAGATAATTGTATTTTTTTTGTTGGATATGTTTGTATGAATACTTTACTGGAAAAATCCGAAAAACTCGAAAAATTTTGAAAAAACCCGAGGTTGAAAAACACGAGTTTTATTGATTTGGTTTATAAATTTAAAAATCTGACACAAATGGTTTGGTTTGATATTTGAAATCCCGAACCAACCCGCTCATGTACACCTCTAGCAAACACCATTATCAACATGTTGTCTTTTTTTCATTAACCCCGCCTTTATCATTATGGTTATTCAATTTGTGCAATTTAACCCATCACCTTATTTTCATTACTCCCAACACGTATAAGAAAGAGAGTTCAAGATTCCACAAGTTTTAACAAGATTTAGAACTTCACTTGCCTCAATTCAAATAAAAGTCAATTCAAGACTTGAGCCTTTCCTTTCCAAACAATATCCAAAGTCACAAAAATTAATCAATCAAGTAATCACAATTAGATTTCGGAAATAACAACACCCATAGCATACACTTTGAAAAATGGGTTAATTCAGCTTAAAAATTCAATTCCAAAAATGAGGTTTGAACCCAAAATCTTTACCTGAAAATCATGTCACCCAAGGCATTTGAAACTCATTGGTGAAAATCATTTCAAAAAAGGAATTAAAATCAGTTCAAAATCACCATTTAATTTTACTTTGCAACTCAAGTTCTTGAAAAACATTGTCATTTGCCAATCAAAATCTCAAATTTTGATGTTAAAATCCATGAATGATAAAATGGAATTGAAATTTTAGGGTCACAAAAGCTTACCCAAATGATTAGCACAAGAGATCTCTTCAAAATTACCTCCAAGGATTTTTCATAACTCAAAATGGGAAAAAATGGGGTAAAACCCCATAATGGCACACCAAAAACCCTTTTTGAAGTCGCTTAAGCGAACCCCGAGAAATATTCGGCCTTCGCTTTCGCAGACTGGCCTTCACTTTTGCGAACTGGCATTTGCTAATAATGCAAAGATCATGATCATGAACAAGCCTTCGCTTCTGCGAAGGTCTGACTTGATCCTTTGCAAAAGCGAACCGGTCTTCGCTAATGCTCGGGACCTCCAAAAATTCAACGAAGACCTCCTCTAAGTCTAAAATCATCCTCTGAATCAAATAGAACTCTCGAAATTCCAATTTGAGTATCCGAACCCCGAATGTTGACCAAAGTCAATCCAAATACTAAAAATTTCACATTTTCCAACTTAGGACCGCAAATCCTCAAAAAGACTCCGAATTTGTAACCT